CCCAAACTAACACATAATCTCCTTTAATTGTAAAATCTAAACCCTAATTCTTATTTATAAACCCATACCGATATATAATTTCGTTTAATTGTAAAATCTAAACCCTACTCCTTCTTTATAAACTCAAACCGACATATAACCTCGTTTATTTGTAAAATCTAAACCCTAATTGTTCTTTATAAACCCAAATTGACATAAAACTTTGTTTAATTGTAAAATTTAATTAAACTCTAATCCTCGTTCATAAACCCAAACCGACATATAATCTCATTTATTTGTAAAATCTAAACCCTAATCCTCTTTTATAACCCAAACCGACATATAACATCGTTTAATTGTAAAATCTAAACCCTAATCCACATTTGTAAACCCAAACCAACATACAATTTTGTTTAATTATAAATCTAAACTCTAATCACTTTTTTATAAACCCAAACCGACATATAATTTTGCTTAATTGTAAAATCTAAACCCTAGTTCACATTAGTAAACCCAAACCGACATATAATTTTGTTTAATTGTAAAATCTAAATCCTAATCTTTCTGTATAAATTCAAACCGGCATATAATTAACTTCTTTTAATTAAAAGTATACATATTTTGTTTCCTTAATTTTTTTTTCTGTTTTCTGATTTTAATTTTGATTTATTTTTAAAAAAAAAGTATTACATGACATATTATTGTATTTTGATTGGCTAATTAACTAGGGTGAATAAGAGAGGTTCACCTTCCTAAGAATTTTTCATCTTTTTTGATTATTTTGGGCAGTGTAGAATATTCCAATCTACAGTATATGCTGACTAATATAAAATGTTTTCACTTTTCACAATAATATTAAAGCTTTATAAAATTAGAAAATTGTGACCACCATTTCTTTCATTTTAATATTTCAAGAAGCAACTTTATAAAAACATTTTGTCTCTTCTTCTTCGATTTGAAAATTCCTTTTCTTCCACGCATAGTCTCACGCACAGTCCGACTTAAAATATATATAAATTACATTTTATAATCATAAATCTTAGCTTTTTTTTTGCCTTTTCGAGTTTTTACCGGCGATTCTTGAAGATGAATCGAACATGGTTTTGTCGTTACCTCTCACTGAAAAAAAAATAATAATAAAAAATCAAATGCCTTTATTATTCCAATATATAAAGTAAAGTTTTTTTTTTTTTTTTGGAGAATTCTAAATTAAGCTTGAATCTCCCCTGTAACTGAGGGTGGATGGATACCTTTCTCTCATTCGTTAAAAGCTCTGTTAATTATTTTATTAAAAAAAAGATTAGTTTCTCTAATTCTCTTTATGGTATTTAATATTTAATTAATCTCTCGTCATCTCTTTTTGTATCTTTTCTGATTTAATTTCTTATTTACGGATGAATAAGAAGAAGAAGAAGAAGAAAGCTTCAAAAGAAATATAAGAGAGAAGAAAAAAGCTTCAAAAGAAAATTTTCTAGGGTTTCTATTGACCTCTCTTCCCCTGTAAGTTTCTCTTTAACTTTTAACCAAATTCTAGGGTTTTTATTGGCCACTCTTGTATCAGCTGGGTTTTGTATCTATTTGTTCTCAATAATTTAGTCAAACATCTTTATGTGTTTTCACTTGTTGACCCTTTGATTTTAGGGTTTGCAATTTCTAATCCCTAGTTGACTGTTTTAATTTAGTCAAATCTGTCTAATTACTTTGTTAGAACTCGAATTAGCTAAAGAAATTGTCTTCTTTTTTTTTTTTTTTTTTTCTAATTTCCTTGGGCAAGTGAAATTATTCATAAACCATAACCAGTAATCTTCTTGATATGGATTCGATTAGAATATTAAGGATTTCAATTACTCACAAATCAAATTTGTTAGACTTAGGCCAATATTGAATCTTTTTTTTTTCTGTTCCATCTAATTTTTTTTGGATCTTTGTTGTTTCAATCCAAAAAAAAAAAACTGAAATAGAAATCTGAATATGCTTATTCGATTCTGATGTAGTTTCAACGAATGGATTGTCACTGTTTAATTCTGATTTAGTTTTGGGTTAAAAAATTTACAGAGAGGGAATGTCAAAAGTGTACTAGGCCGGGATTTTACAAAGACATGTTGACGCTAGGAGAAGATCATACGGGTAGAATTCGGGCAAGCTCGAGCCTGTCTAGACCGAAGAAGCTTCGGGTTCGTGGCTACGAGATTCCTGATCTAAACGTAGAACCTACTTTGGATTGGGATGGGGAAGAAACAGGGGAGGCCAGTCAGACTCTGAGCAGTACCTGTTTGAGATCTCAGGATGCAGATTATTGTTTACTTAATGTTCCTCAGCTCGTTTACGAGCTAGAGGTTGAGATACTTGCGCGTGTGCCGCGTTTCGAGTATTGGAAACTAAAGTTACTTAATAAAGGGTTTTCGAGTTTGCTAAAGAGCGATGAGATTTTCAAGGTGAGACGAGAACGGGGTGTAGTTGAACCGTCTGTCTTTATGCTGTCGAGCGGTGATACGCGTTGGACGATGTTTGATAAGGGCTTTGAGAATTTTCAGAAGCTTCCGGAACTTCCTTCTGACATATGCTTCCTCCATGGAGATAAAGAGTCGCTTTGCGCAGGAACTCATTTGATTGTCACTGGGAAAGAAGAGAAGAGCATTGCGCTGTGGCGGTATGAGCTGGAGACGAGCAAATGGTTCAAAGGTCCTGCAATGATCACACCGCGAATCTTGTTTGCTTCTGCTACTTGTGGGACTGTTGTGTTTGTAGCTGGTGGGTTGAAAATTGAAGGAAACGGGACCATGGAAGTTGTGGACAGTGTGGAGAAGTATGACTCTAAGACCCAAACGTGGACGCTTCTCCGCGGAATGCATAAGCGGCGGAAGTTCTGCTCCGGGTGTTACTTGCGTGGCAGGTTTTACGTACTTGGAGGCCGGGATGAGAACGGTCAAAACTTAACTTGCGGAGAAAGTTACGACGAGGAAACTGACACTTGGGAACTAATACCGGACATTCTCAAAGACATGTCTTTCTCTTCTGTCCAATCTCCACCGCTCATCGCAGTGGTTGGGGATGATCTTTACTCGTTGGAAACCTCGGCAAACGAGCTTCGCGTTTATGATGCAAAGGCAAACGCCTGGAAGAAGCTTGGAGATGTTCCCGTGAGAGCTAAGTCTAATGGAGGATGGGGAGTAGCGTTTAAGTCGCTTGGAGACAAGCTGCTTGTGATTGGAGCATCAGCGGGTCCGTCTAGGGCGGAGACAATGTCGGTTTACATGTGCCGTCCGTTTGCTGATCCTGAGAACAAGCTGTATTGGGAGGAGTCTAAACGCTGCTGTGGCGTTAGGCTCAACCATTTTATCCGAAACTGTTGTGTAATGATTGCTTAAGGGTCTTCTCTAAGAGCAAAACTGTGCTATATAACTTGTGGTTTTGTGTGTGAGACTGAATAAAACGCTGTGGCGTCTCAGACGCTGAAACTCTAATCGCTATTGACCTATTGTGGGTTATCTTCCGATTCAGCGTTTGCATCTTCACTTTTTGGTGAACGCTGGTGATTGCTCATTTTGTGATATATCTATCTTAAGCTTTTGTAAGATTGTGTTAAAAATAAAAAGGTTATTTATATCTGAATAATTCGAAACAATCTGATCTAAATCGGATGAGCTTGCTTCAAATTCGGTTAATTAGAATGGTTTATATATCGAAAACTTTTTATTATTATTATTATTGAAAACTTGGCAGTTATTAGTTCATGGATTTTTTATTTAATTTAGTGATTTAAAATCATATATAAATTTTAAAATAACGAGTTTAACCCTTAAATTTGAGTTTTTGTATTTTTCACTTCATATCTGTGATGGATTTCGCAATTAAACCGTGAGATCCAAACCAAGTCTGTTAATGAGTTAAAATCCGAGCGAGACCCTATTATGTCCACGTGAATATAAAAGGAGAACACAATTGTTTTATAAAGTTTTAGTTTCGAAGTGGTTCTTATGTTTGATCTGGTGTGAACTGAACAGATAATAGCACCAAACAAGAACACATAATGGCACCAAACTCAATAATAAAATATTAAACAAAACTCAAATAAGATGGTTTTTGTGTTTAATGGGTTAATCTCCCAAATACTAATTTTTCTAGTTTTTAGGGAAATTTGTTTTTAAAATTTTGAGAGGCTAAAAAAGAAAGAAACATTTTTCAAAATCAACTAAAATCTACCTCAAAAGCTTTATTGATTTTAATTTTAGAAAATAGAGCTCAAAACTGAGCTGATAAGCACGAACACAGGAGGAAAAATATTTTTTTTTTGGAGAAAGGCAGAAAATATGATATTTATCTAAAACCAAAACTCTTCGTGAAGATAAAGCATTTTACACTATATTCGCTGGGTAATTTTCTCAAGTATTTCCAGTTTTGTGATGCAGAATACTTCTACTACTAATCTGCGATTGTGTTGTTTCTGTTAGATTGTACTGTGAGCCGTAAGATTTGATGTAACAAAGCAAGTCTACATAATTGTAACAAAACATATTTTTTACAATAAATTTGCAAAATAAATCACTATATATACCTAAAAATTTGAATTTTGTATCCAAATATTCAGAAAATTTATCTTCTTGAGAGTGGTGGTGATGGAACAAAAAAAGAAATGCTAAATATTAAAAAATAAGAATAACAAAAACAAATTGAGAAGACGTAATCCAATATATATGAAGAGTCTTCAATTAGATAATAGATATATTTTATTTATTAAAACATAAAACAAAGTTTTAATTTTTACAAGAATTTAGGGATAATGTGAACTAAATTTTGGAACAACTAATCCAAATTTTACGAAAAATGAGTGATTTAAAATAGATTTTCATAAAAAAATCAATAATATGTTTTTTCTTTTTTAAAAGACAAAATTTTAGAACTCCAAATTACAGACCATAACGGGCTGGCTACGGCCCATTAAGTATCTGATTTCTAACTAAACTACACGCTGTTTTCTATGTACACTATTACACTGCATGACGTTTTATGCGTCAAGCTAGTGAGAGAGTGAAGGCATGTGTGGGTCGGTGGTTTCAGATAGATACAGAGCGCGAATTTGAATTTCATTTCTGGGTTTTTGGCCATTTTGGGGAAGAAGAAGAAGAAGAAGAGAGGATAATAATGGCGGGAAAGCGTTCGTCGCCGTTTTCTTCTCCGTTGCTGAGACCACCACCTGAGCTACTGAATGTGAAGGAGGAAGGAGAAACGGAGACGTCGTGCTGGAGAAAGGAGGTAGACGAGAACTTGAAGCGTCTCCAATCGCTGCTCTTTGGCGCCGACCAATTTCTGGAGAAATCTGATTTCTCCTCCGCTCAGATCCTTGGGCTTCGACTTCTAGGTTTCCTCGATTCTCGCTCTGTCACTGACGCCGATCGTGATTTCATTTGTCCCATTCGCCGAGAAGTTGCCTCTAAGGTCGATTTAGCTTTGGAAGGACTCGTTTCAGATTCGGATCGGTACCTGAGTTTTTTCCCTTCTAAACCTGTTTAATTTCGAAGTATATTGGTTCGAATTTTACTTGTTGAGCTTAGTCGAGTCTTATGAGTGTGGCTTGAATTGTTGGGTATTGGAATCTGAATTGTGCATGAATTGGAGAAATCTGGGTAACCTTGAAACTGAAGAGTGGAATCCAAAGTTCTTTTGAAGCTCAGTTATCGTCAATATTGGCTACGCTTGAAATTTTTGGAGTACCCTTTTATATTGTGCTTCTTGTTGTATCCAGGAAAGCGTTTGAGCTTGCAAATACAGTTCCAGGACCTATTTTTGGCAGCAAATTTGATGTGGAAAAGATTAAGCAGTCAAAACACTTTAGTTTTCATATCAGTCAATCTAATGGAAAGGGTGTTAAGGAGATGGTAATGCTCTTGTAAACAGCTTCATTTCTTGAATGATCTTAGTATTGGTGATGACTTTTGGCAATGCAGCTTGTCCTTGCTTCCTGTTCCTACTACGCTTTCTATAAGAATTAGAATGATGTTTTTATCTAAGGATCACCTACTCTCCAACATAGATGTTTTCTTGTTTCAGGAAGAACGACAGGATACGGATAAGTTGATTCCCAAAGCACCAAAGTCAATGATGCAAGCCAAACTGACATCATTGTATGGAAACAGCATTGGTAAACCAGATAATCAGCGAAAAACTTCTGTGAACAATCAAGACCGTGCCTCTGATGAATGTGTCATTGTCGAGAGAAGTCATGGATTTGGTTTTGGAACAAAGCGAACTCATGCAGAAACCAGCAGTCTCGCAAATGATGGGGAAATAAAGGCAGATGGAGCTCCTAATGGATTTGTATCCGCCAAAATAAAACTGGTAGATTTATCCATGACAATTACTTCTCTTAGAGTCATCTTGACTTTGCAGAGTCTTATCTTTCGAACTGTGCTTTATTACCCTTTGCTAATGTTGACTACTATATCTCTTGCTTTAGGAAATGGATGTAAGACAAAGACGAGGATCAACCGAGTCACCAAGTTCTTGTCTTTCTCCACAGAGTGAAAAAAATGCTTTGGGTAGGGGCTATGGTTCAAGATCGGGTGGATTAAGACGTGGATACCGTGGTAATTTTGTCCCTCCTGTTAAATCTAATGGGAATAATGTTGGAAACTTGACATCTCGTATTGGTGGAAAGATTGACGATGCACTGGATGACTCAACCAGAACATGGTTAGTTGCGTAACTTCTTAAATTTTTGATTCAACATGCTTAGCAAAATTGAAAGCACATGCACCCTTTTGATATCCTCACCTTCGACAATTAATAAGCTTATTTAATCTGTTTTTCTCTTCACTATTTCTTGATTTTCACCTAGATAGGCTATGCCTGTCTCTGCCTTCTCTATCTAAGTTTCTATATTAAACATTTTTTGTACTTATTTCACATTGAAACACTATGAAAAGTAAATAAACAATAGTACATGCATGTCAATAGGACTAGAAAATTAATTCATAAGTTTACACCATTCCTGATCGCATGTTTGTGTTTCAACTCTACTGCGGTGTAGTGTTTAGTTGCATGTACACTTTTGATTTCAGATTCTGTGTATAAGCAATTCCTGACGCCATCTTTGTACATTTAAGCGTTGACACTCATCTGATGGTTAGGCCCTCGTCCTTGTCTAGAATGCTACTTCACATAAGTTTCTAAATATCCAGTAGCCTTCTACGTCTGAAGCCTGAAAAGATTAATTTATAATATGAGATAACATGCGTGCCCATTTACTTATTATCCTGTTCTAGTTTGGAGATGCTCTGTGGTCCTGATGGTGAGCTTCCCGAGAAGTTGAGAAATTTGGAACCTCGTCTTATAGAGCATGTCAGCAACGAGATTATGGATCGAGACCCCAATGTCCGCTGGGATGATATTGGTACAGTAGTATGTTTCAATGCAGTGTATATTATCCCTGTTGCATCTGGAGTTTCTCATCATAAGTTATTGGTGTGCAGCTGGTCTGGAGCATGCTAAAAAGTGTGTAACTGAGATGGTCATTTGGCCATTGCTGCGTCCTGACATTTTCAAAGGTTGTCGTTCACCTGGAAAAGGACTTCTTCTCTTTGGCCCACCAGTAGGTACCCTTGTCCATTTTGATATTGAAGATGAAATGTCACCATGTCTGTGTTTCTTAGATCTGTATCTATTGCATTCTAGGGAACTGGTAAAACGATGATTGGAAAAGCTATAGCTGGAGAAGCAAAAGCAACATTTTTCTATATATCAGCCAGTTCATTGACAAGCAAATGGGTTAGTTCCATATCTTTGCTCACTTTTACAGGTCTGTTCGTAAATTTAGGACAGTGATTTTGTTCCACTATGACAGAACTTCGACCTAGCAGGGAAACCCCTATCTTCTTCCAGCTCAAGATGTTTATTGCATGCTTCTTCATTTGCTTATGGTTAACCTGCAAATTGTACGTTCAAACGACTGTAAATGCAGATTGGCGAAGGTGAAAAGCTAGTGAGGGCCCTTTTTGGAGTTGCGAGTTGCCGCCAGCCCGCTGTGATATTTGTGGATGAAATAGATTCTCTACTATCTCAGGTTTGTCGTAATCTCTTAATACTTTAAATAAGAAACCCCAAAATCTATCAATGAATAAAGTGGCATGGAATATACTGTACTACAAAGGGTGCTTCACTTAAAGATAATTCTGGCGTGTTCCAGCATTTTCGGTTTCCGTAATGTAATATTCTGCTAAAAGAAACGAACTTTCACCCTTTGCCACAGCGTAAGTCAGATGGTGAACATGAATCGAGTAGAAGACTCAAGACACAATTCCTGATTGAAATGGAAGGTTTCGACAGTGGCAGCGAGCAAATTCTCCTTATAGGTAAAAAAATGGGAACAGTCAGGGTTGAGTTTTGTGGGGTTTAGTAACTTCATGCTGCTAATTGTTTTTTTTCTTGGTTAGGAGCAACAAATAGACCCCAAGAGCTCGATGAAGCAGCAAGAAGACGACTAACCAAGAGACTCTACATTCCTCTTCCTTCATCTGGTAAAGAATGATAAGCACACTTTTTCATGTCATTCTTTGGTGTTCGTCGAATATACTGTCTTGACATGATTTCCTTTTCGAATTAAAGAAGCAAGAGCATGGATTATACAGAATCTCCTAAAGAAAGATGGGTTGTTTACACTGTCGGATGATGATATGAACATCATATGCAACCTAACGGAAGGTAAAGGAACTTGAGAAACAAAAGAAAATTGTTGGCAAATCTGTGGAGTCTCGATCTTTAAAGTCCGAAGAACACAACCCAAAATTGCAAATACACATTTACGGCAACAACCAAGCTAGCTTTTCATTTCTTTTCACTGCAGGGTACTCGGGATCAGATATGAAGAACCTGGTGAAAGATGCAACTATGGGTCCATTAAGAGAAGCTCTCAAACGAGGGATAGATATAACTAACCTGACGAAAGATGACATGCGTCTAGTAACTCTTCAGGTACATAAAATCAAAATGAAGATTTTTTGTGGTATTATCATGTTTTGGGTAAATTTAAATTTATGTCATGCTAACTCTGTGAATACACAAGTAAGCTAAAAGAAATCTTCTTCTTTGTCATTATTTCATATATTTGGTCATTATGCAGGACTTTAAAGACGCATTGCAAGAAGTAAGGCCTTCTGTTTCTCAGAACGAACTCGGAATCTACGAAAATTGGAACAATCAGTTTGGTAGTTTAAGCCTATAAGACTGAGATCGGTGAGTTATACAAACAATATATCATATATTATCTTTGAGCTAAGGCCCTTTGGTTTTCTAGAATATACATACATTTGCGTTTATCTATCACAGTTATAAGATATACAACAATGCCACTATACATATACAAGAGTTTTACAGTACCTAAGAGTCCGTCTCTAGATTCTTCTTTGCTCCTTCTGTATTGTTCCTGTCTAAGAATTAAAGAGAAACCTTAAATCGACTCACAAAAGCAAAAATTCAGGTTCATATACAAATGTGCTTATATGAAACGTACCTATACATGTTTGCTTCAAATATTTAACAACATCACTAAACCTTCTGCACTGTGCTTATTCGATTTGCCCGTTTCAGGAGACTTCTGTACTCAAGACTCCTGGACCATTCATCAATCTCACGTGCACGAAGAACCGGCAATGGATGTGAAAGTTGACTAGTCTGAGCATTTCTGTAAAAAAGGAAATTATGTAAACAAACAAGAAGTGACTCTAAGGAAGAAAAATCTAAATTTTCAACGCCACTTTTTGTATAGTTTTAATCGTCTCTCACCTTATGTACCATCCCAAGGGGCTCGAAGAAGCTTTGTCATATGAACGGGCTTGTTCTAGAAATGCATCAACATTTAGCTGATCAGCAATTGATGGACATCCTCCAGCTAATTTCATCAGGACGGATACAACAACCTCTTGGAAGCACCATAACAAAAATTATAAGAACCATAACAGAAACATAACTAGGTGTATACTTACATCTAATTTGAAACATTCTGTGTGTTTTCTTCGATTGTTTTTGCTACCTTTGGATCTTGGGCAACCAGAAGTGCTGCACGATCACAAGTCAGCTCTGCTGAACGCAGCCAACGAAGTAATTGTTCTTCCAAAGTCCGAGCTATCATTTGCCCAAAAGCTACAAATAACAGAATTCAATTCAGTAACAGTAACATTGTTAACAAAGTTTCACGCAGGCTGCAAACTGAAACTTATGTGAGTTGATAAACAGATTTCCGGGATAAAGCCACTATAATTTTGTCAGACTGACGCAGAACAGTAGATGCAAGAGATTTGCAACGGAAGAAGAGTGTGGTACCTACCAGGAACTGTATAAGCACCAAGAGTAAGAATGTTTGCAAATGTGAGCCACACGCCATGATCACACTTTAGATGGCCTAGTTCATGGGCCAAGACAGCCTAGTTTTGAGGTAAAACAGTCAGATTTTGGTACAATAAGCTGATATGTGACACACTTCTCAATAAAAAAGCAAAGAACTTGTAATGTAGAGAAGAGTATGAACCTGTAGCTCAGCGCGAGTAAGAAGCTCGATCAAGCTGGTATGGACAACAATAAACGGCTTCTTACCGCTTATTGCCAGTGTATACGCATTAGGAACAGGACTTTGTCGCACATAGAGATCAGGAGCCTCTATGTTCAAAATCTCAGCAGCCTCAACCAACAAACCGTGAAGATCAGAGAGCTGAGACAGTAAAATACAACAAACATTATATCTCATGTAGTCCTGTAGATAGGCAAATATATAACGTCCACAAGACATTGATTCAAAACCACTAACCTGATTCTTGGAAACAAGAACAGAAGTCCCAATATTCTCAAGAAGCATAATCTGTTCCGTCATTGACCCTACAACATTCCCAAAGTCGATAAATCACATAATCTGTTTTAAAATCTTTATTTGTGCCAAGTAACAAGAAAACACTTCACCTAAAAGAGCTTTGCCGAATTCGTTCAACCCCGGTATAGCCCTTAGTAACAAAGTGTTCTGCATCAAAAGACATTGCATTCAAACTTTGAAATTCCATCAACCAGATTATCAAATGATGATTGCAAACAACAAACACAAAGAACACACAAGAGTTACCACAAATTCAAATCACATCACCAAAGTTTGATATTTATGGAGTAATCATCGAAGTTCTAAAAGTTTCCAATTACGATAATTTGTATAATTTATAACGACCTGCTTATCCAAAGGATGACGGAAATCATCAGCATCAAGATCTTTGAACAAGAGAGGAGGCACAGCTCTGCAAATCGGAACCCTAACCCTAAATCTTCCAACTTTCTCTGTACCGTAACCGATATAACTCACTGAACGGCGACTAGAGCTAAATCCCACCTTCTTCGGTAGTCTATATCCCAAACGACGAGACAAGTCGCCGCTCTGATTGTAACAGAGGGACAAAACCGGGGCTGAGACTGAAACCGCCATGAGAGAAGAGAGGTGCGTAAGTTAAGAATTGGGTGCTATTCTACGCCGGTGAAGAAGAGATGATAGAATAATTATATTTTGGGTCTCTGCGGTTGCGTTTCGGAGACGACAAGCGTTTGCCGTCCACAACCGTAGTTTAATGGTTGAGCATTTGACGCGCCTTCGTTTTCCCGTTGACCGTTAACTTTTCTCTACATCTACACACCTTTCCTATACGGCGTCGGTTTAGAGAAGAATCTAATGCTTTGGATGTTATAATTTTTGTACTTTTAAACTTGAACATTTAATACTAGTTTAATAGTCCGCGCTTTGCGCGATCAAATCAGTGTAGCAATTTATTTTTTTACTCAAATGGTTAGCAAAATTGTATTTTTTTTTCTTTAGCAATTAGTTACAAATTTGTGTAACAGTATTTTGTATATACATTGAGTCAAATTTTTTTAAAAAAAGATATTGTAGAGATCGTGAGAGGATATGGGGAAGAAGAACAGTTTTTTAATTTTATTTTATTTTTTGTCGTAAATTGGTTTTAAAAAATAAAAAATAAATAAAAGAGCAGAATTTGAGACTAAAGACACGTATCAAATGGAGAGAGCTACAGTTATTTGGAAAGTGACTTGTGATTTATTATAATAGGATTGGTTTTAAAAGATAAACAAAAGTAAAACAACAGAATTTGAGACTTAAGACATGTGTCAAATAAAGAGAGCTGCAGTTATTTTATTTATTTTTGTCAACCACACATTCATTAAAAAACAACTCCATGATTGGTTGCCCTATTAGGAGGAGAAGAGTTTACAAAAGTAACATCAGAAAATAAAAGTCTAGAGGAACGGGCTAAGCAGTCCGCCTTAACATTACATAAACGAGAAATAAGAGAAAGCGAGAAGAGGGGAAAGGAGACACGGAGCAAATCCAAATCATCTAGCAGATTGGAAAACGCGGGCCATTCTTCAGGAGAATGTACCATCGAGACTAACTCAGAACAATCTGTTTCAAACGCCTGACAATCAATCCTTCTTGAAAGGATGTTCTTCATAGCCCAAATTAAAGCCTCCAACTCTGAGTGAAGGGGGGAGGGGGATCTCCGAAGGCATTTTGCACCAAGCAGCAAAGTTCGATCAGTTCCTTGAAAATACCACCATCCTATACCCATAGTTGGGTCCGAAGATTTTCAAGATCCATCAATCCGACATCTTATAGATTGGATTGGGCTTTCCATAATATCCGTACTATTGCTATTTTCCATCGGTTCCAATTGAGCTTCTTCCCACATTAATTTTTCACTCAAAGCGTGATTTAAAATATCTGTGGGTTCAGATTGTAATCCTTTGAAAACCTTTTTATTCCTATCTTTCCATATAAACCACAAAATCCAAGCATAACAATAAGTTTTCTCCCCTCCATCTATAGGAGGTGGTTGCCTCCAATAAAGATAGTCTTAGAGAATTCCGACATTAGAGGAAAATTACCTGATGCCATAGGTATTTCAGATAATTCCCAGACTTTTTGTGAATGTGAGCACTCAAATAAAGCATGATTAATTGTTTCCTCTGCCATCTCACATCTTTTACATGTAATATCACACCGAATCCCACGATGTGCTAATTTTGAAGTTACTGCTAAGGATCCCGAAGCAATTTGCCATAAGAAATGTTTTATTTTTGGAGGAGCTTTGACTTTCCAAGCTTGTGCTTGTAAAATTTTACAATTTGGGCCCCATTCAATCGTTTCAGTCACCCCTCGGGCAAGCCGATAGCCTGACTTTACTGTATATCTCCTTGAATTTGTATGATGCCAAATAAGCCTATCTGGCTTATGAACTTGACTAATAGTCCGTCCTCGAATTAATTGGATATCCACCGGATCCATAAATTCTTGTAAAATAGGAATATGCCATTCTTTAGTAACCGGATTAATTAAATGGTTAACCATCAGATTTGGATGTAATAATTTACCGCTTCCATTTGTTGGGCGTGGATTAACATCTGGAATCCAAGGATCTCGCCAAACCGATAAATTGTATCCTGAACCTAAGGACCATCTTGCTCCCATTTCAACCAGACTTTTGGTCGAAAAAATGCTCTTCCATCCAAACGATGGAGAGTTTGTTTTTTTTTGCTTGTAAAGGATGAATATTCCTGAAATATCTACCTTTTAGTCTTAGGACATAAGTTTTTATTATCAATTTTACTAAATTAACTCGGAAAAGTAAATTAATTTTGAACAATAACGACTATTATCGCTTTAAGTGATGTTTTAGAGATTTTGTTTTGTATTATTTTAAGTGATATTTTCAAATTTCAATTAAAAATTTAATGTAATTAATATTTTTTGACCAATAATATTTTTTATTATTTTTATTATTGGTGGAATTAATTGTAGTTAATAATATTTTTTATGTAAAAGAGATAAACTAAATGTTATTTTTATGTTTTCTTAAGCTATGTGCAAAGACCTTAAACATCACTTAAAATGAAACATAAGTAGTTTGGTATCGTTGTTCAAAAAAAAAAATAGTTTGGTATTATATACTTGTGATCAACAAACATTAAACTTTTGTAAGTAGAAATCACATATTCTCTCTATTTCAAAAAAAAAAAAAGTCGTTTTAGCATTAATTTTTTACGTTTCAAATTAGTTGTCGTTTTAGGATATTTTTTTCTTTCGTTTTGTTTATGTGTTTCAAAATAACTGCCTTATGATTTACAATGCATAAATTCTAATTTTTTAATTATCTCTATACTATTAAAAGAGAAGTACAATTGAAAATGGGTCGGGTTAAAATCAGAAAATTGACCCGAAATTCTGAAATCGGATCTTTGAAAATTTTTTGGAATATAAATTCGAATTAATAATGAAAAATTGAAATAAAAAACAAATATTTATGGAAATCAAATAAAATCTGATTGTACTTATGGTAACTAATAATAAAAGCATATTCCAAACAATATTATACATTAATTACGTATAATAAATTTGTTCATATATTTTTGGGACTAATTCCATAACAATCAACGTTTTTGTCATTAATTTCGCTCATTTTAGCCAATTATCATTAATTGAAAGATATTTTACTTGCTTCTAAAGATTTCTAGAAAATTTATCACAAATAACTCATCTGTTTTATAAATTAAATTGATATTTTTATTTTGGTCGTGTAAATTAAATAGATATTTTTATTTTGGTCGTGTAAATTAAATAGATATGAAATCCATGTAACTAATTTTAATTTAATTAGATTAATCAAAATTATGATATTTTCATACCTATAGCTTACCAAAGAAGTTTAATTT